TGTGGTGCTGGGGGATCGAACCGAGGTCCCTGTGCTTTGCCAAGCTTGTTTCAAGTAGGTGCTTTAGACCACTGAGCCATCTCTCCAGCCCCTGGGATACTTCTTAATAATTTAAGTAACAAGTTTATATTGTCTGAGGTTGTTTGTTTGTTTTTTTTAGTCTTTTTTTGTGTGTGTCTGAATTTTTTGAACATGTTCCATATTTCACAATAATTAAAGTTTTCAAGGAATCTTGACTCTTTTACCACGTAGCTACATTATCTTTAGTAAGCTGTTATTGAAATCTTGGTTGTCATTTCTAAAGTATATGGTAATACCTATCTTATTAGGTTATTGTGAGTTAGCTGAGACCATAACTATGGCTTACTGTGCACAAGAATTTAGCTCAGTGCTATGGGAATCACACTGATCATATATATATGTATTTTTTGAAAGCAATATCGTTATTCTACAGATTAGGACATGCATGGCATAAAGTAATACAAATAAATGGGAGCTATTATTATTAGTCTACATGTTAGGCTAATTAAAATAATTTGGGGGCCAGGGAGATAGCTCAGTAGAACAAGCGCTTGCCTGGCAAGCGCAGGCTCCTGAGTTCAATCCCTGGTACTGCAAAGAAAGAAAATAATTTGGACCAATCTAAACCCCTCCCTTAAATGTCTAAAGCATAGGTGCACAACAACTGTGTTTCCCTGAAAATAAAACCTAATGGGAAAGTGCTGATTGTTACCATGGTGATGACCAGCCTCACACAGAAAATTATACCTCACTGTTCTCTTGCTTGGAGATTACTCCATAATAGCAGGTAGAGCAAGGTGATATGGGCTATTGTTTTTGATCTCTAGTTTTCAAGGCTTATTATTTTCAGGTTAGGTATTATTTTCAGAGAAACAAGAAAGATTCTAGATTCTTATTTTTGAACTAGAGGAGCCATCTCTTTTATCCCTAGTGCATACCTAACTGGTGTTTAGTATGTTTATAAAATAAATTATTAGAAACAGAGAAAGGTTTAAGAAAACATAAACAACATAAACTGGATTTTTTTTTTTTTTTTTTTTTGGCCAGATTGTATAATCTTTTTTTGTGTGTGGGGAGGGGGTTAGACAGAGTCTCCTTATGTAACAAAAGCTGGCCTCAAACTCATGGCAGTCCTGCCTCAGCCTCCCAAGTGCTGGGACTGATGCATGCTGGCATGTGCCACCATGCCTGTCAGATTTTTTTTTTTTGGTACCAGAAATCAAACTCAGGACCTTGCACTTGCCAGACAGGTTCTTGTGCTACTGAGCTATCTCCCCAGCCCTCAGTTGGTCAGTTAGTCTGTCTGTCTCTCAAAATTTAAGCTAACCCTGATTTGAAGAATTAATGCTTCATATAAGGATCTAAAATGATGTAGGTATAGGAGTAAAAGAATAAAAATCTTCCTTTTATGTATTGATAGTTTTTGTTGCTGGGGATTTGGTGTGGGACATCATGCTAAGCATGTGCTCTAGACTAACATACACTTGGCCCGTAGAAAATGTTAAAAGACACCAACAAATCAGGCACGGTGGCACACACTTGTAGCCCCAGCACTCTAAGAGGCTGAGGAAGGATCTCATATTTGAGTTCAGCCTGGGAATTCAGTGACATCATGGGACCTTATTTCTAAATTAAAAATTGTAAATGTAAAAGGGCTGGGGATGTAGATTAGTTGGAGGCTCCAGATTCAATCCCCAGTACCAATAATTTAAGTGACATCAGTCATAAAAAGTATATAGCTATGATGAAAAATAGCATTTTGTAAGATTAATATGCACTAATAAGTATATATACATTGAAAAATACTACCAGTACATGGACTTAATATTAGCTTTTCAGTGAGAAAAAAGCTAACACATTTAATACATATAAAATAAATTCAGAAAGTATATTACGAGTTACTGTAGAACACCAGATATGGTGCACAACTTGTAATTCTAGCACTTTCAGTCCTCCTGTCTTAGCCTCCTTCAGTGCTGCAATGATAGGTATATGCCACTGTGTGCTGCATTGTTGAATGTTTTAATAAATTACTTGGATGCATCCATTTATCAACGTGGAATGGACCCAAAAATGGGAGAAATGGCTAATACACAAGATGACTAAATAAGGTCTGAAAGATCTTAACAGGCTGGAATTGTCTTGAATCCAACAAGATAAAATTTAACAAGGATAAAAGTCTAATATTTAGGTGCCAAGGAGATGGCTCAGTGGAATACACGCTTGCTTGGCAAGTGCAAGGGCCCGAGCTCAGTCCCCAGTTCGGAGGGTGGGGGGAAGCCTAATTTTTCTTTTTTTTTTTACATTCTTTATTTTATTTTATTTTATTATTTTATTTTTTTCCCATAATTTTATTCAGAAACAAATAGCAATGAGACAGTTTCAAATCAAATTGGTAGGACAGTTTCAATAATTAACACATTACATACTCTCTTCCTAGTGGTTAATTGCTGTACAAGATGCAGACATGATATCCTATTTATAAACACCATTAGAACAAATCCCTCTATTCATTAAGAGAATGTAACTATATATCTATCCTAACCACTTTGAATACACAGATACCAAATAGATATTCATCTGTATCCCCTTTTTTTGTTAAGTTCCATCATTTAAATATTATAGGTGTGTAAACTCAGCAAAATATTCTTTTTTTTTTTTTTTTTTTACAGTTTCAATAACTAACACTGAATATATTCTTCTTAGTGGTTAATTGCTGTACAAGATGCGGCCTTGAGTTCCTATTTACAAACACCATTAGAACAAATCATTCTATTCATTAAGAGAATATAACTACATATCTATCCTAACCACTTTGAATACACAGATACAAAATGGACATTCATCTGTATACCCCTTTTTTTCTAAGTTCCGTTATTTGAATATCTTTTTTTTTTTTTTATGTATTTTAGCACAGAGTCTACAGGGTCTCACTACGCAGATTAGACTTGTAGTGATCCTCCTGCTTTTAGCCTCCCAAGTGCTGGGATTATAGGAATGTACCACCAGGCTCAGTCTCAGTCACCCTGTCAACCTGCCCTAGGGGTGGGGCTGGCCCGGCATTCTAGGGATGAAACCCTGGTGCCTGCCTACATAGGCACTACAGTCCGCTGAAGTATATGGCCAACCCCTAATATTTATTTTCAAAAAATCAATATAACGGCTGGGGAGATAGCTCGGCAATCTAAGCGCCTGCCTGGCAAGCTCAAAGACCCGGGTTCAATCCCTGGTACCACATTCTGTGCTGGCCCTGAAACCAGGCATGGTGATGCATGCCTATAATCCCAGCGCCAGGGAGGCTGAGACAGGAGGATCACCATGAGTACGAGCTGCCTAGCAAAACCCTGTACCAAATAAATAAAGATTTAAAAAGGCCAGACTTAACGTCAATTTAAGTAGGAGATACTCAGATTTTTAATTAAAAAGCAGTAAGTAGGAAACCAGGTGTGTTGGTGCATGCTTGTAATTTCAGCATTCTGGAGGCTGAGGCAGGATTGCCAAGAGTTCAGGTCAAGGCCAATGTGGGCTACAAAGTAAGTTCAAGGCCTTGCTGAACTACATAGCAAAACCCTGAAACAAAACAAAACCAAAAA